GGCTTCCCCACACAGTATTTTGGGCAGATGCATTTGCTTGCGTTTTGCAGAAACAGAAGTTTCCTTTGTTGTAACGTTTCCTCTTTTTTGTTCATTGTCTGCTTCTCCTAATTGCTGTTTGATAACTCCCAGTCTACGCTCATCTGCAAGTTTCATTAACATGCCGATTGCTCCTTTGCCATTAATAAAAACATTATACTACCATTTCACATGCATTGTGCCCCAACAATGAATTAGGAAGTTGTGCAGAATAGAGAAATCGATTCAGCTCCGAGCGCACCTCACACTCTTGTCGCTGGAAACGTCTCATGTAGCAGAGTGGGTGAGGCTCTTGTTCTGTCCCTTCATTGTCAGGATCCGGGTGCCAGATGGAACCTGCAAACAAAACCTCCGGGTTCTCTCTCCTGAGATGACAGTTATGTGATCTAACCGGTTATTTCTCGCCCACTACTCTTGTCACCAATTAAGACTTTATATCCCGCCAATGTCCCCTCATCTCCTGGACTTGAACCATACGAATGATGTACTTATCTGCTCCTTCAGGCTACAAACATTTCTTCACATTAACCACCGACGAGGCTCAGCCACTATGCAGTTTGCCTGAAAATGCCAGCTCACTGCCCCACCCCCACCCCCTCAGACCAGGCGCTGCTGGAGTGCCAGCAATGAACCCCTTAAACACGAACAAAATACGACTCACCTCAAAATGCTAGGGAGGGTTTTAAACTTTCACCTTTCCCTTGCCTTTCGCTTCACGCTAATGAATGAGGTGCCTGTTCTTCCATGAAGCTTAGACCAGGCAAATGAAAAAGAGGGTCACCTACTCTAATCTTCAGGTTACCCTCGTTTCTCCTATTAAACAATGAGTGTCCACATTCATTCCACTTCGTTTTCCCAGCAGAAGAAGAATGTCACTGATTTTTATGAAAAAAAAAAAAAGTCCCCCATGAACTGGGTAGGTGTTTAAGTACTTGTTTTCGGAGAGGGCGGTGCTGGCTAAGGCGCATTCCTGGGCTGGCACCGCGAGGAGACAGAAAGGCACAAGGGTGGTGACTTGCCAACGACCCAGGCCACTTTGGTGGACTCTCCGGGGAGAGAAAGCCTGAACAGGGAGCTGCTTTCCCAGCAGGAAGGTCCGCCCCCACCCGCCCTTCCTGCCTTCACCCCCCAGCCCTCAACACACTTTCCATCTCCAAGCCACCAGTCAACCCAGAATGTACAAAAGATGGAGCCAAACAGGATTTACAAAAGGAACCTGTATTCCAGCCAAAATATCTTTAGAAAGAAATCCCTTCTGAAAGGAGGGCGGGGGGAGGAGGAGAGTGGGGACAAACTACATAAGACACAATACATTTAAAATATGTATTGAAATTACAAATCACACTTATCCATATGATTCCAAAGTACAAAACACAACATTAAAAGGCATTCAAAACAGCTCTTCTATACATCACAGTGCTAGTGACATTTCAAAAACACAAACTTGTTTTTGTTTTTACCACCACTTGTCAAATACATCACGGATACAAGTGCATGACTCATTCATGCATGTTTTTATGCAAGATTAAAATACACCCGTGGTAAAATGAGCAGAGAAGGAGCAGGCAGGCGTGTGACAGGCGCCCAGCCCGACCTGAAGGCTCCTGGATTGTGGAAGACAGATTGCGGAGACCGCAGGGAGGACGGGGACCACAGCCTTCTGCACCCCGGAAGCATGCACCCCAAGTTCTGGTGCCCAGCTAGTCCTTTCGTCCCATGCGGCATTTCTGGCAAAACCAGTCATCATCTCATTTTGTCTCTTTTCATAACGGCTTGGGCTCATTATAAGGGACAAACAAGCTTTGGTATTTTTCAATGAGAACTTCATGAAGCTTTACACATGCAAAATGTTTTCCCTTGATGGTTTCACTGTGATTTATGTATATATACTATATACAGGGGGCATTTATTAATAAATGAGAATCTGAGAAGTATACAAAAAGCTCACCCTGGTTCTTTACGCTCCCCTAATTTTTTAAAGACTCCCAAGGGAAATGTCTTCTTCTAATCTGTGAAATACCTTTTAGCGTTTGTGATACGGGTGAAAAAGGTAAACATGTCTTGAAGGATTTCTTGCGTATCCCATCATCCCTGTCCCCTTGGCCTTGAATCCTACTCAGGAACTGGGCTGCTTCCTAAGCTGGTTTTATGGAATAATATGCTATAAAGAGAACTTGTCCCCTTTAAGAAGATGCCAGAAGTGGCGAGTGTTGCTTCCTGGGCCTGCAGCTCCTGGGGGCTGAGGAAGAACTGACATGGACAGGAATTTGTGCCATCAAAGGTGTTGTCTGTGCTGAGACCCTAAGTCAGTCGCTGTTACATGAACATCCACAGGGACCCCTCTGAAGTCGGTGGCCTCCTGCGACAATGGCAAAGCTTGGCTGCGTGGCTACAGGGACATGACCGAGCCAGCCTGAGCGATCGGGCATGTCCAGGCAACCCTCAGAACATTGTCAGTTTCCGGACTCAGATAACCTACGGGGCAACCGCACCCATGGGCCACCTGGAGGGGTTTTCTTCCCTCTTGTTGCCCAGGATTTAGCGGGCTCTGGATGCATAAACAGGCATGTGCTCCCAAGGGGTCTGCGTGAAAACTGTTTGTGAAAGTGAATGTCATTTTCAATTAAGACAAACTGTGCTGGAAAACAGGAACAAGTCCACCTAATAAGTGTAGAGCTCCCCAAGTTTTACTGGGGAGTGACAGCAAGGTTAAAGCCCAAAACGCAAGCCACCATCGCACGCCCCGTTTACATTTGACACCAAGCCTGGTTAGCAGTGCATCCCCATGAACAGTGGGTATGGTACCCTGACTGAAAGACCAGGGAATGGGAAACGCAAGGTTGTGAAGGACCCCAGTGTGATCCTGCTGGTGAAGGGGCGTTTTTAGTTGTGTTACTACTCAAGCCAAACGAGAAAAGTGAGGCATGCTGGATGTAAAAACTCAGAGCAACCAGGTCATCCTCTGGCCCCAGAATCTCTGTGGTCCCTCCCTGGGTCAAACCTCGTGCTCGTGAAGCGTGTCAGAGGTGAAGGCACAAGGATGGTTGGGGCTTCGGATGTGCAGGCTTTGCCCACGGGCTCCCCAGGAGAGACGGACGGCCCGACCCACTAGAATAAAGACCTGAGCTCCAGCCCAGAGAACACAACCTTTCTGAGGCTCTGGTCCCCACCCCAAAGGCAAGGGGGAGGTGCACTATATGGAGTCGTGCCGTGTGCAATGGGCAGCAGCTAGTACAGGCAGGATGAACTGGGATGGGGTGAAGACCTGCCCTGCAGACCGCCGGACATGGGGCCACGGGCCTGCTGTGTTCAGCACATTTTAAAGGGCATTGGCTAGACAACTGCATTCACCAATTCTGGCAGGAGGTCTCAGGCCAGGGCCACTGACTTCATCTCAGGCCTCACACGGTTGTCGCCCTCTCAGCAAAGCCATTCTACCTCCAGACCCTACTACAACATCTCCAGCTACAGACTTCACCCGGGCTCCATCGCAAAATGCGATGCTCCTCTCCAGTGAGGGAATTTTAAGACCACAATTAGGAGAACTCTTTCCTCATAGTTTTGACAGACTGGTTTCCTAGATGGCTTCTGTTTCACAAAGAAAATAACTACTAGAGGTGCAGTGAGGTGATCCTGTTTCTTCTAACATACTGAACATTGAGAAATAAGATGTTTCTACACGGGAAGGTGAACCAGGACCTGAGATGAACGCGCAGGTAGGACGGGAAGGATTCAACACCACCCCGCGTTCCACACGTGCTCACAACACGCAAACAACTGAGATACAAGTCAGATTTGGTTTTCATTGTGCTCCTCTGTGGAATGCTTAATAAGTTTTAAAACGTTCCCCTGTGATGAATCTACAACATTTGCCTTTCCCCTATTTTTAGAAGCCCCGAGTTCAATGCAATCGGTTTGCTCTTTAAAAGCACATGCGGCTTTTAAGAGCCATATTACATTTAACTCTCTGTGAAGAAGATACACTCCCCCCACTTTTCAGAGTCAATCGATGGGATGACATGTGTCTTATTGATCTGGGCATTCTGCTGCCATGGTAACGGCCACACACGCAGCCTATAAAAGACTGAGGGATAGAATCTCCAGTCAAAATAGCAGTGATGCAACATCCTCCACAACTAGACTGAAAAACAAAACAGCAATTTTATGTGATGTGTCCAAAACAGCTGTCATTTAAAAACTGTGAAAATCCGGGAAACTCCTCCCCAGCCCTGCCAGAGGCCCCGCCTCTGAGGAGCAGGGCCTGGCTGTCTTCCCACTGTCTACTTGGGGAGACTGAGGCAGGCGGCCAAACCAAAGTGATCCCGAGTGGAACTATTTCCAAGCACAACATTTGGTTTCCGAAGACATTAGAATTCTCCGATGACACCCGGGTGAGAAGAGACAAGCCTATGAATGAGCTGAACTGAGTCAGCAAAGAGAAAAAACAAAAGGCAAATCTACTGGCGGTGATGCTCCTTTAAACACAGCAGTGTTTTCAAAGAAATGCAGCGGTGCAGGAATCACATTTACAACGGTGCACAGCGTACAGCGTTCGAAAAGTCGTTACAAGTTTCAAGAGGAACACAAAGGGCATATAAGGCTTTCTAAATCTCCTGAAAAGTGGCCGAGCCAGAAAAGTCTTTTCACAATAACTTCTTAAAATGCACATTTCAAGAAAGGCATAGGATGGTTTAGATGCACCTTGTTGATTTTTCACTTCTCAGTTGGAAAGAAAACAAAAATGCCTTCTAAAAAGGGTTTTACTAAATGCCATTAGTAATAAAAACAGTTGTCATAAACAGAGTGCTTCTCTCAAGTCGGAATAATTGGATTCTGTCTGAAGTGAGCTGCAGTCCTCAAAGACTTCTCTCAGCATCATGGCGCCACCTTGAAGCCAAGAGGGGACGGACAACATGTTGCACGAGAAGGTCTCTCTGCAACCTCCAGACATTCCCAGTCTACCGCCAGAGGGAGAAAACTGCCCGGCATGCTTCTTACAGCACCTCCTTTGTCGAGTCTGCAGAGACCGACTGTGTGGGGACATGCACTGCCCACACCAGGCCTGCCTTCCCCATGCCTAGGTGACTCCACCTGTTGTCTGGGCAAATGTTCTGACATCAGTCCCTGAAATCACGGCATCCTGCGTGACACTGTGAAGCTCGATGGGGCGCATAAGGCAAGAAAGATGTTTAGTGATGGGGGGTGGCGAAGAGAGGAGGGGGAGGACCACGCTTCCCGGAGGCAGGGGTCTTGTTCCCGCAGCATGCCTTCCTCTAGGTGGGTAATGGGTCGTCGTCACCTTTACTGCACTTGCACTTGCAGCAAAGTACAAACGGAGTGGCCAGGAGCAGGAACGGGGAGGCCACCAAGAGCAGGAGCCCAAATCCAGCAAAAATGCCCACGACCTGCAAGAAGGAAACACAGGAGCAGAGGGTAAGGTGACTGGTCTGTAGGTTCCATGGCTGAAGTATAAACCACACCACCACCCATCCATCCATCATCCACCCACACCTCATCCTCCCATCCATCCATCCATCCATCCATCCATCCATCCATCCATCCACCATCAATTCTTCCATTATCCATGGAATATCTACCCATCCATCCATCTACCCATGCATCTACACACCTATCCATCCATCTATCCATCCATCCATCCATCCATCATTCATCCATCCATTATCCAACATCCAACCATCCATCCATCCATCCATCCATCCATCCATCCATCTTCTCTCCATCATCCATCCATCCATCCATCTTCTCTCCATCATCCATCCATCTGTCATCCAACAACATCCATCCAACAACATCCATCCATCCACCCATCCATTCACTCATTCATCCATCCACCCACCCACCCATCCATCCATCCGTCCATCCATCCATCCATCCATCCAAGCATCCGTCCGTCCATCCATCCACCCACCTATCCATCCGTTTGTCCATCTATCCAACCATCCATCCATCATCTCTCTATCATCCATCCATCCATCATCCATCCGTCCATCCATTCATCCATCCATCCATCCATCCATCCATCCATCATCTCTCCATCATCCATCCATGCATCCACCCACCCATATTTCCTTCCCTTCACTTTCTTCCCCTCACTCCTGCTCCCCTTTCTCCCCTTCTTTTTATTTCTTTTCCCTTCTCTTCCTCTCCTTCTTTCCATCTGAGCCCCCAAACATCCATGCATTGACACATCCAATTAACCAGCAAACTTCCCCTGGGCCAGACGCTGTACTAGGTGCTGCAAATACAGAGGCACCTAAGATCTTGGCCTTCAAGGAGCAGCCAATCTGATGGGAAGAGACCACGATTTAACCAACTGGTAACAATACTGTTAACAAAAAATGCTATTGGGTTCCAGGTGTAAAGGGTCTTCAGGGGGCAGATACCTATAATACATTTGCTGGGGGGGATGAGGGTTTCCGATGGAAGATGGCTACGATTATAAAGAGGAGAGGGGGTGGTTAGTAAACGAGCAAGACTGGGATAAGGCATTCCAGACAGGAGCACAGGAAAGGCACAGGTATGGTGCATTAGGGAGTGACCAGACCTGTGTTATTCCTGGAGTGTGAAATCCAGCACTTACTGTTACACGCTGTGATTTTGTTTTAAAACATATGTTTACCCCCAGGTATGAATAACTGCTGAAAGAAAAAAGCCTCAAATGTAGACACGCTATTATCCAATCAGGCAGTGTGACTAGTCAAAGGAGCAGGACATGTACTCTTTGACTAGTCTCATAAGCTGTGTCCCTCCCAGGCAGGGAAGCGCCCAGGATAGAAAGCTGAAGATGGAGTTACACCGCCACCTAGTGTTCAGAGAGATAAATACATCAATGGGCTGGCCACATGGTTCTAATTCTGACTCAGTGTATTTACGTCACCCTGAGCTTGTTTTCTCAATTATAAAATAAACAAATGAGGTATAAGATCTCCAAGGGCTATTAACAGCTCTGAAATATGATACTATGCTAAAGCATCCCAGGTGTGTGAACGAAAGTATGCCTTGATTAGATTTCTGCCTGAGAACCGTCACACACACACACACACACACACACACACACACACACCATTGCATTTATAAAACAGACTGTGCTAATGCTAAGATTCCATGTGTTCTTCCCAGCTGGCTAAATCCGCTGGTCTGAGCATAATATCAATGAGGGGATTGCACGGTGTGAATTCAGACCATGCTTTGTTAAAATCAGGTGCGCAGGGATATTTCAAGAGCACGTGAACACACACGGGAAGGTGTTATTGATCCAGGGGGCGCTCCTGAGCTATCTCAATTTCTTGGAACACCCTTAACCCCGAAGGGGCCACGAACTCAAACACATACCAAAACCCTGACCAAATGCTCACATTCTGGGCCCATGAGACACCACGTTAGTTTTCACTCAGTCCACCTTCTCTTATTTGCGGGCCATTTAACAAGCCAGGCTACCTACTCCCTTGCCAGCTGGTGATAGGAGGCTGCAGCTATTGCCAGAAGGAAAGTAGTCGACAGGAAGGAATGAGACCTGAAGCAAACCTTACAAGACAAAAATGATCGCTTAGCGAGCATGTGCTAAGCATGGGTCAGGCACAGGCTACACACTGCGGGAGACGAGGAGACCTGCAAAGTGTCGGGCTCCCGAGCGAACCACGGTGACCAGCATCACTCACGCGGGCAAACCCCGATTGAAAGGACCGGTTAACCACTCCGGCTGAGTTTCTCGCGGGGTTCACTAGTCAGAGCAGAACACACTTGTGTGACCACAGCCCAGCGCCTGTCCCACAATAAATGCTCATTTATGGGAGGGACCAGGTGAAGAGAAACGGGACGTTCTGCATCCTCCGCCCCAGAGTCCTTCAACAAATGCATCCAGGGCGGGGAAACACTACACCTGGTAGGTGATGGACCGCCTTTCATTCACTGAAACTTGGCATTGGAACACAGCATCGCGATTGGCCGAGCACATGCGGCAGAGGCTGGGACCAGGGCTGGGGTAAGGGACCCAGGGAGGGCTGTGTCGCGTGCGCTGAGGTTGGCTCTCAGGTCTCTTGTCTCCATTCAGTGACATCACCTGGGCGGCCTGCAGCAGCCAGCATGGGAGCGCTGACACCCCAGACAGGGGCCAGGCCAGGCCCCGCCCTCCTCCCTTCAGGCCCCGCCCTCCTCCCAGGCCCCGGCCCACTTAGACACACGTGGCTGGCGGGGTGTGTTTTTGAGGCGGGGATTAAGTGAGATGACAGTGCTAGCGGCCTCCCTAGTCTGCCCTCTGTGTACTAACTGTCTGCTCCCACCTCCTCTTCCTCGTGCCTCTGCCAGTCCCTCTGTCCTCTGCTTAATCAATTCCTGTTGTTCTGAATTGCACAGGACGAGGAGCAGCCGCATCTGTGTTTATCCTCTAAAAGAAGGGGTTCTCCTGTTGGCAGGGGGAGGCAGACGCACACATAAGGTCAGACTTCTGCACAAATACAGACTCAAGTCACGGAAAACGGATCCTGGGAAGTCAGGAGCCGGCTTCCTTGGGGATGCGGCAGATGGGGCAGGAGTGGGCCAGGTGCAGAGGGGCTGAGGGCAGGGCTGGGAGCTGCCAGGACACTGGCTTTGAGGATGTGGCGGCTGAGCTGGTGTCTGAAAGAGGAGACTGACGAGGCAGAGAGCGTGAGGGGGGTTCCCCGGGCGGTGAGTGGGGGAGGGGGTGCAGGAGGGCGTGGGGGAATCCTGGAGGTCGCCTAGGTCTTTGTTTAAGCGATATGAAATTAGGGAAATTTGGAGAAACAGATTATGGGGGCAATCTAAAATTCTGTTCACGTACGTTCTGTCTGAAATGCCCCTTAGACACCTCCATGCAGACAGGTAGCCACGTGAGCGGGGAGTCCAGTGGGACCGTTGGGGGCACAAACCCAAATGAAGCGAAATAACTGGGAGGTCCTATGAGGGTCGTGGGTGCCAGGAGTGCACGTGGAGACTGACAGGACACCTCCCTCACTGCATGGTCACAGACAGCACGGGTCCCACCTCCCTGTGAACGCAGAATAACAAAATCCTATTTGATCCTGGATTACAATCCACTCCAATTTCCTCATTTCACCAATACGGAGCTCTGTGGCCAGAAAGCGATTCCAGAGGTCCCAGGATTCACGTGAGACAGAGGACTGGGCCTCCTGGTTTCAGTACAAGACACAACATGTGCGTATTTACTAAGCTCAGTGAAAAGACCCTTGAACAAACAGGTCACCGCGCAGGCTTCCAGGACACCAGCATTCCTGGAGAAATCAGTCACCAGCCAGCGATCTTAAATGCCACCCTTTGGCTAAAAGCGAGCCCTCGCTTTACTGTGAGGTACAAGTGTCTGTTCTCTGCTCAGAGAAGGAAGAACCAACGCGGGTAACACTCTCCCACAGTGGGTGCTGGTGTCCTGAGGAAGCAGACTCATTCTAGTGACAGAAATGCCCCTTTTGGCTCTTACACAGGGTGCCCCATTTCTGGGACAGCACTGGAAAAAGGGAAGGCGGACACTTCACAGCTGCCGTGTGTGTCAACGTGCAGATGAAAGGGCCCGGCAGTGGGGGTCTGGATCGTACATCCAGGAGCTCCGCAGTGAGTAACGCAGGTGAGGTCTATCCCCGCGCCACCGCAGGGCCCTCACAGCCCTCCTTCCCGGGCCTATTGGCAAAAGCACGTGCCAGCAAGAGACCTGGCACAGCATGGAAAATGACATCACTTGGGACAAAATACAATTCTATAAAGCCTTTACCTTACAAAGACATACTAGGTGTGGTCACAAAATATATGGTGAATGTTTAAATTAAAAAAAAAAACAAAAAAACATTACAGTAAAAGACACATTACCATGAATCCCCCTTAAAATGACACCCCCTCACTTTGAACACACTTATCCCATCGTTCTTGCCACTTTCTGAAGCAGTTCTGGAAGTCCTCTTTCGTGAGTGTCTTTAGTTGCACTGTCGTGGCTGCCTCAATGTCCTGAATATATTCAAAATGTTTATCTTTCCTGCTCATTTTGACTTTGGGGAAGAGCCAGAAGTCGCTCGGTGCCAGATCCTGTGAATCAGGTGGATGAGGACACACCGTAATGTTTTTGTTTGACAGAAACTGCCACCTACCAGAGTGACGTGTGACATGGAGCACTGCCATGATGGAGGATCAAGTAATGACACTCACGAAAGAGGACTTCCAGAGCTGCTTCAGAAAGTGGCAAGAACGATAGGATAAGTGTGTCAGAAGCGAGGGGAGTACTTTGAGGGGGATTAATGGCAATGTGTCTTTTACTGTAATAATTTTTTTTATTTAAACAATCACCGTATTTTGTGATCATACCTCGTAGAATTCTTCCGTTCATGGCCTGATTCCCTGCCAGGAAAGACCATTTGAATGGGTGCTATGTAAAAGGCATTCGGCTGAGAATACTTTTACTCCCACAAAAACACTGAAAGCGGACTACAATAATCTCAAAGAGGCACGCTAAAATTCTCTTAAAACAATTCTACCTAAGTTCACATCTAGAGGCAGGGGAGTAGGAACCTTATGAAACTAACAAATTCTATTGGACAACTGATGACGGCTCCTAAAAGCTGGGACTCAGGACACTGGATCGAGGGGCATTTCAAGTAATGGAAGGAGGTCTGAGCTGGGCGAGTGGCAGGCAGAAGAAGATGCATTTCCCCAGAGAGCTCAGGACCCACACTGGGCAGAAGCTTAAGCGACGGCCCACCTATGCCAGTGGGCAGTGCATGTGACCTGTGTGGGGGACGGTGCGGGCAAGGAGGACACACGTGAGAGTGGCGAAAATGAGCTCTGAGACGGAGGTCCGCAAACTGGCCCTTGGGCCAAATCTGGTCTGCAATCCGTTTTGTTTTTTATTACAGCTTTATTGAGCTGTAATTCCCATACCTTACAAGTTCCCCACTTAAAGTGCACCATTCAATGGTTTTTAGTGTATTCAGACTTGGGCAACCGTCCCCAGTCGATTCTGCCACCTGTTGGTTAACGAGCTTGTCTGGAATACAGTCCCGGTTCTCTACTGACCCACCAGGCACAGTTGACGGTCACAACAGAGATCTCACGGCCTGCAGAGCTGAGGCTCCCTACCATCGAGCCCTCGCAGGGAGCGCCAGCCAGCCCTGGCCGTGGACCCCACTGGCTTGGCCGCGGGGCCTGCAGTGAGGACTGTCCAGGAAACATGCTGACGCGTGGGATACTTCCTGTCCTCACGCACCTGCCCTGGGACCTGGCTCCTTTATGAGCCAGACGGGGGTGACAGGTCTGCCCCAGCAGCTGCGGCGACAGGCACTGTGAATGCCACACCGGATGTGAGCCCGGGAGCTCCCACAGGCCCAACTCTCTCCCAGTCCATCTCCTGCTCGCTTACCACTTCATCCAGAGAAAGTTCCGGACGTCTTACTGTGGCCGGCAAAGCCCATGGGGTCTGGCCTCTGAGGATTCCCACCCCCGTCTCACTCCTGCTCTGTCCCCGGGATCTTCAGGCCACAGTCCTACTCATCAACCCATCCCCGTCCCCTCTGCCTGAGCTGTCCCCTTTGCCCTCCCCTGTACCCCCACGGCCAGCTTGGCACTCAGCACTCAGCCGTGGGCACCACACAGTCTAAGAGACCCCTCCCTCACCATCACTCCCAGAGCTGAGTGCACTTTATGTACATGCTGGTGGCTTAGGACCTCTGTCCCGACACAGAATAAGGGTCCCGTAAGAGTAGAGCATATCCATCTTACTCCGGGGAGGACGTCCAGCTCCTTGAATCGTGCCTGGCATGGAGCAGGAAATGACGATGTGCTGAAAGTGTGAATCAGTATCAGTGCACAGGCCCTCTGTCAACTCCACAGGCTACACAGACTTTACTGGGCAGGGACATTTTCTGTTCTCTCCCTGTCACCCTTCCCTGTGACTCACTTGCTCCCCTCGGGGCCTCTGCGAGAAGCTCTTCCTTAAGGGCGATGCAAGGGTTGACTACACACAGTGGACCATCACCAAAACCTGAGTAAGGAGCAAGGGATGCAACGTCTGAGGTTCAGATTCACAGTGTGCTACAGGCGATGCGCTGTTTACTTCAGGTTTGGGTCCGGGGTACCGTGAGCACAATCAGTCCAGGGACCGCACTGACTAGCTCTATTTTTCTATACAGCAGATCTCCAACCAACGAGTAAGTCACTGGAAACCACACACCGAGACGCGGACACACACACACACATACACACACACACACACAGACACACACACACAGGGCCACGGGCACACACCCAGGCAGAAGCGCACACGAGCGCACACACACGTGCACGCTCTCTTCCTGACATCAACGCTCCAGGTGAGCGGCCTCCTACCTGGGTCCGATGCCAGATCACAGAGGCCCTGGAGTGGCCCAGCTTGTCGCGGCAGGGTCCTTTATCGTAATGGATCAGGAGGAAGTCATCCTGAGGAGGCAGGGAGAGAGCAGGTCCATGGGAGGCTCATCTCGGCTTCGTGAGTGAGTTGCCCTGTTTATACTCAGTGAACGGGGATGGGGGGCAGAGGAGCAGAAATCCCACACACCGACCCCTGCGGCGACAGGCCTAGCCGCGCCACGCACACTGGGCACTAGAGGGAGCTCCAAGTAAACAGGGATGTGAGAGGGAGCGGGTAGCTGACAGCAGAGGAGCAGAAATCCCACACAGGTGACTCCTGCAGCTCCAGGCGGTGCAGACCAGGCACCTCGGAACGCGCACTAGAGGGAGCCCCGCCCCAGATTTCAACCTGAGCCTGAAGAGGGCGGCCCTGGGTTCGGAAGCCACTCCTGGCCCGGGCTGAACTTCATCCCATGGGAACCCTTCTGCCTTTGCCTCTTCCTTTCGTCCTGGCAGGACTCCTCCTGGATTTGACGGTTTCCTTTATCTCTGGCCACCCTCCCCTGTTAGCGCCAGACCTCTCACCTGCAAAATGCTTCCTCTCAGCTTGGACCCTGAAAACAGTCTCCTTACTCGAGGGCCAGCTTGGGAACCAGCCTCTCCAGTTTCTCCAACTGCCCAGGAGGGGGCAGTAGCACCCTCCTGACTCTCAGGGAGATGTCCTTTTCCTCCAGGCGCTCCGACATTCCACCTCCAGCTTCCCTTGGGACCTGGACCCGACTGTCAGGTTCCCCTCACTGATGCCAATCTCCTCAACTACGTGCCCGGGCCAGACTTTGGCACCCAAACCTCAACAAGCACCAAATGAGCTGCAGGAGTGGATTATCTAGACAAAACCCTCGGCCCCTCCCTGTACAGGAAATGTCACTGTCCCCCATTTCTCCATAAAAAGAAATAACTCCGCAACAACACAAAGGAGGGGCCGATGTCTCTCCATTCATTCATTGAACAGAGGGTGTAAACAGCCTCTTTTTGAGAAGAGAGTGGATAAGCACAGGGCCCAGTGTGTCTGAGAGGACAGGAAGTCATTCTTCCGAGAGCCCAGGAGAGCCGGACACAGTGGCTGTTCTCTGGCCCTTAAAATCAGCTCTGCTCAAACCAGACTGGGTGGCTCCGGCCAGCAAGCCGTCCTCTCGACCTCAGAGCCGTGCTGGCCTGGGTTGTGCTGATTTTAGGGCCTTGTCAGGGGCCTGGATACAGAGGTGCAGCTTTCATGAAACCCTGGCTCTTCGGGGCAGTGCGGAGATGCCTTGGGAGGAGGTGGAGGTCCCAGCCACCTCTACCTGCCTGCCCCCTTCACCCACAGCCCTCACCCGCCGGGAAGCACAAATGTGGAGGAAGGCAACGCCTCCTCCCGCTGGACCTTTGCTGTGCAGCTACTGCTGAAGGCTCCTGCCCACTGTGAACTCTCGCTTCCCGAAACTTTTACTTTCCTCAGCACTCACATTAACTGGCACATACCACTGACATCAGGTCGTTTTTCATTTGTATTGCTAATTTTTCCCAGGCTGCCTATCAAAAAGTCTGGCATCATAGGCTCTTGAAAAGTTTTTGAGCTTCTTTTCTGAAACACGAACCGAATCACATCGTCCGACCTAGTCGGCAAGTCCGTGATCACCACCGGTTAGACGCGGACAACGCCGGCTGCTCCCGTCACCTGCGCAGCTTTTGGAAAATGCAGGTTCGTGGTTGCCCCTCATGGATCCTGGCCCCCAGGTTTTGGGTGGGGCCCAGCTCACAGCCTTCCCGAGTGGTCCTAATCTGACCTGTGGTCACCGGTGCTTGAGAAGCAGAGGCCCCATCTAGAGGCCAAACCCCTCAGCTCGGCACACAGAGACCCGAGTCGTGGCCCCGACTTCTTTCTGGCCACGCTCAGGCCATGTCCTATCCATGTCCTCCTTCATCATGTCCAGCTGCCCGTGAACTCGCTGTCCCTCTGCTGCGACCACACCCCGAGCCGCCCAGACCCAGTGCCTCCTCCTCCCCAGAGCTGCCAGCGGCCATGCACCCATTGTCCTGCAGCGCTCTGCACAAGGACACAGTGCCATCAGCCACCAGGAGCGCCTCCACCCAGAGACCACCAGCTTCCCAACGTCGTGGACATGGACTTAGCCTGCACCCTCAGCTGCCCCCTGGAGTTGAGCTCGGATGCTCAGGACCTGCTTCCCGGACAAAATGAGAGCTTGTTTAAACAGTACCTATCTTCTCCTTCCAAAAGCACTCGAAGATGCTTTTATAATATATAAATCATTTCATTGTGAGTTCAGGGGGTTGATGAAATCGTGGGGCATAACAGCCCCAGGACCTGCAGGAGCCCTAGTGCGTTTCTCTGATGGGAACCATTTCCCACACTATTGTTCAGAGAAGTTTCGGTACGCTCCCGGGTGGAGACAGAAACAACGGAGCCTGGATAGACAGCTGCAAATCGGAGAGATGGTCAAGGAGAAACTCCTTCCAGCAACCCAACAATCCACCCCGTTAAGGTGTGAGCTTTTGTCACAGCCTGGCTTGCAGCAGCTGCTCTGACCCACAGCGGTTGAGTTTTGGGGTTTCAAGGTCAGAGCGCGGATGCAGGCTCCGTCTCTTGCTCCTTCAGTGCTTTTGGGAAAGACTATAGCAACCTTCCCAGACTTTTTGAAAAAAAGGAAACAGATGCCAACTCTCATGGAAAGACTGAGTGTATTAAATAGGTACGAAGAAGAAATTGCACCGTGCTGGCACGTAACAATTACTTCAATAAATATTAACTATTTATCCCCCCTCAACAAAATATAATAAAAGAAAGTGTGTGTGCCCCTTTCGACTGCACTCGTAAGTAACGAATACTAATGAAACCGAGGTTCTTCCTTATGACTTTGGTCAAATTTAGTTTCCAATCCTAGCTGTAGAAACCCCACCTCTCCCTAGCCCCCTCCCTTAGAAACCCAGCTTTTCCCCCCATAACCAGCACCCCCGAGGCGGCAGAAGACAGTAGCCAGACCTGACTAATTGTCACACGGTGAGCCCTCTGGCGGGACAGAGATAACATCTCACCGAAGTTACGTTCCAGCTCCTGAGCCCTAAGGTGGAGCGGCCCCCTGGCTGCTTTCCCCGTGAGACCGGACAGAGGGACTCCAGAACAGACCTCAGAACTGCCCTCAAGGCCTGCAGAGATGATTCGTTACCCTCACCTCACCTCCGACCAATCAGCTCCCAGCGCGACCCCGAGCCCCTAACCCACGGTGTCCTGTGACTTTGCCACATGGAATCTGTAACCTACACACCATCTCAGAGCCAGGTCTTTGAGTGCCAGCTCACCTGTGTCTCCAGGTTTGGCACCATTTCCTTAAATAAACCTCCACTTTCTTGGCTGCAAACTCCCGTTCCTGTCTCATTTGGCTCTGATGAGTGCAGGCTAATGAACCCTGAGTTCGGTCACACTGGGAGGGCGTGTACAGCTGAGAGGCAGGACCTCACCGCTGAGGGGTCCAGGGGTAGGGCTTGGCCAGGGGCAGAGGAGGGTGAGGGACAAGCTGGGGGACACAAGTCCTTGCTGCGTGCCTGTGCAGAGACTGAGCCTTGGGGTGGGGGGAGGTTCCTGAGAGGAGGGGAGAGCTCAGTGAAATGGAAAACGGGCTCCTCTTAGCATGCTGGCCGCCTCCAGCCCTGCCTTTACGCACTGGTCTTAAATCATTGCGATTGACCTTGATCAATCGCCCTGAATCCTTCAGAGTCTGCTTTCTACGGCAACAGGGTCATGTTTCAGCAGCTCTTCATTTCCAAAGAAAAACAGGAAACTCTTGGCCAGGAGAACAATAAGTCTCAAGGAGGAAAGTGCAGTGTGGTGCCCTGGTCACCAGTCAGGCCGACGCAGAAGGCACTGGACCTCCGGCACGTGAGACCTGAGTCACACAGAGAGGTCACTGCGCCCGAGGCCAGGACAGTGGACAACCCTGTGATCACACGAGGCAGACGCCAGGCTGGCCTCCCACACCTTGTAACTAGATCAAAGTGGCAGGGGAGGCGGCAGCAAAAACAATGACCACACCAGAAACCAAACTTGGTGTCAGTCCATTTCTAATACTTCCCCTAAAATATCTTTCACGAGATCTGATAACATAGTAAAACTGGCATTTCAGTTCTTTTCCCCGTAGGAAAAGTTCTAAGGAGTGGCAAATTGCAGGTCAGAAGTTAGATAATATAATGTAATGATCAGCGCTCCAAAAAATATTAGAATACAGTAACATGCAAAATTATACATATATATATATGTGATATATGCGCTATAGAGAGAGACTCTATATATGTATGGAGTTCCTCTATAAAGACGTCAAGGCCCTCAGGAACCTTCTCTAGGCTCTTCGGGAAATGGCCAGTCTATACAGCCCCCTCCGAGTCTGCAGCTCATGCTGACGTCACTGTCAAGGTCAAGTTCAAGGCCGTACTCACGTCTAGAGACTCAAGGCAGTACCAGCAGAAGGCATGCTTGCAGTTCTTACACATCATCTGGGCACACCCTTCGTCTCGCTCTATGTAGACCTTGCACTTGGGACAGCGTTTGATGGGCGCGTCGTCCACCTCCAGTTTGAAAGCAGAACTGTGGGGAGAAATGCCATCAGGGCCCTGCTCACAGGGACCCCGGGGGACTCAGTCACCATTGCCTATGCCGGAAGCAGAAGCTCAACTAGAGGAACCATGGTCACTTGATATTGAATGAGATAAACGAAAACTCCAGAAAAATAATCACTGAAAACTGAATCGCCTAGTTTGATTTAGGGAAAAAAAAAAACTCCAGCAACATCAGCACACACCTAAATTTAGTGTACGTGTGTGGACAAGCCAATGAAAACATGACCTAAGGCTTATAATGGAGGTTCCTGAGTAATGGGATTATGGTCAAATTTTATGTCCTGATTTCCTAGATTTGTATACTTTTCAAAGGGTTGATAATAATTTTTAGGCACTTTGCTGTTTTCAGGGAAAACAAAATGTTGCAAACACACAGCAATTGCTTACTTAGGTCTCCCTGGTTTGTCCTGAAAGGACTGTCGTCTTCTTGGGAAGTCTGGCTAGGCTGGTTGTAAGCCTGGGGTCAGGCGCCTGCTGTTCTACAAACTAGCAGTGTAACGACCTCTCTGAGCCTCTCCTCTCGTCAGTGTGGGAATGAGAAGAGATCCCGCAGGAAAAGGCACACGGTGCAGAATCAAGCCTGTGGGAGGTGCCAGTAGATGGGACCAGCAGTTCCGTGCTGCTCATACAGTAACATAGATACTTTAGGCACGACAATGGAAGGGCGCTCCATGCTGTCAATTAAAAAAAAACATGGCTAAAGCGTGTGCATGGGGACACGGGGGCCTGGCACCAGGCTGCACACACACGGGCCATGGCCTCCTTCCAAAATGAATTTGATTCCTGCAAAGAGCCACCCGTCACCAGACCCTAGTCCCGTGAGCAAGGCTGACTATCAGGTCAGATAACATTGTTTGGGTTTGAAAGCCAGGCGTGGCCAATGGAACCAATTCTCGCATGTGACTCATGAGCTAATTTTGCAGAAAATGCCACAGACAGTTAAGAAGCAGCGTCTCTCCAGGAGACGTTTTAAAACAGAAACAGTTCATCTGTGTATTGTAGGTCCTGGAGCCGCGTGGCATGGCAGAAGTTCACATAGTAGGGACAATGGTTCTCAAACCTTTTCTGGCACCTGAATGACCTTTCAAATTATTAGTCGTAACAGCTCTTACTGTCAACTCATATTTAGGAAGGCCGACAGGGGTCTCACAGCCTCATGGCACTCCACGTGCTCTGGTGGCTCTAAGTGTCAGACACAAAGCTGCTCAGGTGCTGGACGGTAACGTGGGTTAAGGGACATTTCCTTTTCAACAAATAAACTCTGCTATGTGAATACAGCTGAGTGTGTTCTGGGTTATGAATGACAGCTGTCAGTCAGGACCAGGGAGGCGAGAGGCAGGGTGAGGCCTGTGGCGACGCGGGACAGCACACACCCCCTTCTAACGTGGTGGCCACACTCAGCCCAGCTGACCGTCAGAAAGAGCCAGTGGAGGCTCTGGGCGGCGGGGTATTCAGATGTCCCCGAGAGGCCGGACTACCAGATTTTTAGGTGAAACATTTGAATTTAAATTTCCACAACTTCAGATGTGTGAGCTTTGATTTAAACTGCCCTTGTGTCATTTTTGAAGGTTGTCCATGTGATTTTTTTTCTTTGGGTGTTTTTTGTTTTTGTTCTTTGTAAGAGATAGGACATGATGACTTACACGAATACATTGAGAAATGACTGCCCCCTTTGTGCTGTGACAGTAGTGAGACCAGAACATCACAGATGAAGAAATACTTTCATCAGGCTCCCAGCACTCACTGTCCTCCATCTTAAGGTTTTCTGCCAAAGAAACTCCACTGCCAGGCGCCTCCTCCCCGCCAGCAGCGGGACGCTGGCTCATTCTCGCTTCAGGGTTTCTTACTTAACAGAATGTAGGCACTCCTCACTCACTCAGTGAGGGCGGGGAGAGTTCTCTTCGAGTGAAACTCCGCCGCTTCACGGGGGACATGCTGCCACCTGCTTCTTTCTCCTTCCCTCCCCCGGAAGCCCACGTATGCACAACCTGACCACATAAAAGGTTTCTTCTTGCTCAATTACGGAGCACTAGGCCTAAATATAAGCTCACGGCTTCATGCCAGACTTTGGCTGCCTGCCGCATGCCAAGTTCTGGGGTGACAAAGTTCAAAGGCATGCCGTGACGTCAGGGAGAAACAGCCACATAAACAGATGGGCTAAAACACAATATGGCTGGTGTTGTAATCAACACAGACAATCTCCCACGGGGACAGACGCAGAGGGTGGGGCCCCCAGCCATGCCCTGAGAACGGGGACGCTCGACAAAGCAGGGGACGTGCTCCATGGCTTGCATGGTGACAAGAAGTCTCCAGGAAAAGGAGGAGGATAGACAAGGGCATTCCAGGCACACGCACGAGCATGCAAACGGAGAGAGAGAAGGGACCTGCCCCAGGCACACCAAGGGGGTCTCTGTGCAGGTCCAGTGGGCGCTGGGGGTGGGGACAGCGACATGGGAAGAGATGGAATACAAGAAGCAGCTGGTGACCACACCTGGGGGTGGGTGGCGGCATTCCATCTATCAGAATCGTGGTCTCAGCAGGCATAGGACCACTCTATCTGTTTGAACCACGTGCCGTTGCAGATTTTACAAAACACAGGAAGCTGAGTGTTATCCGTGTCGTATGGTTTAACCTACTAAATGTCAAGGTGGGTGACACGGTGCTGCAGTGTCCCCTGGGCACCCAGTCCAAGGGGAGAAGAGGACCGATGCACAGTTGTGAGTGACCTTCTCCTCCCGACAGGCTTGCCATTCTAGGGTGATGTGGCCACTGGGGCTCAGGCACCCAGGAACCTGCTGGTGGTGGACCTTCTGGTATTGATAATCACTGCCACCTACTATGGTCCCCACTCCTGCACCTTGCAGGTCACCTTCAGCGCGTCAGGCATCTGAGGACTAGACCCTTCACAGTGACTAACTATCCACGTGCTCGTTTTCTGTGCATCTTTAGGTGGCCAGGGCCCTGCACACTGCCTGGCGCGTAAACAGTTCTCAAAAATACAGTCAACAAGCCAGGTGTGAATGAGGCTCATGAGAAAGGGGCTGACGTGGGCACAGGCATGTCCTCCCTGTGGCACCTCAAGGGAGGAAGCCCCCTCCCGTCCCTACTCCCAGCCCCCAGCCCACGTGGACGTGCTGTGCGCGGAGGGTACCTGGTCTCCCCGGGGAGGAAGGTGATCGGCATGGTCTCCGGGCAGCCTTGGCCCGGGTGCCAGCTGGCTTTGCAGGCCGAGCAGAACTCCGTGTGGCAGGCTTTGCACTGGACCAGCTGGGGGGTCTGCAGCCCCATCTCCTGGAGCTGGCACACGGCCTGGCAGGTGGATGCCGGGCACCAAGTCCGACAGGGGTCCAAGAGCACCTCTAGCACAGGAAGACAAGAGCAGCATGTCAGGCTCTGCAGACCAAGCGTGTCGCGGGCCGAGGACTGCGGGCCCACCTCCGTGCACTCTTCACATTTGCAATGGCGAGTGTCCAGACCAGTCCTAACGTGGCTGTTTGGCTTTCTCCTCCTCCCCAGGCATTCCCCGCCTCGTACCCCTGAGTTCTTTGGGGCTGCTGCCTGCACCCAGTGTGCCCGCAGCCACCGGGATAGCCCTACAGGCCCTGGGGCCCGGGACGCCTCTCCCGACAGCCTGTCCCGGCCTCCTGAGAACCCTCACACCATGGCCGGGGCACCACACTGCTTCCGTGTGCCTCCCGGGGACACTTCCTGAACTCAGGCCGTGTCCCCAGGCCCAGGGCCAGGCAGGCAGCAGACCCTCAGAAAATGTTTAAGGATAGAAAAAAGGAGGGACGGAAGATGGCTGGATTCTTATCAAATGGCTCACCCGCCGCCTGAGATTGTCTCCCTCCCAAACTTAAGTCCATGCTGTGAGCTACCTCCCATGTGGAACTGCCGGTTTTGCAGCCTGACTGGAGCCCAAGTTGCTCAGAGCCCTGATTTAATGAACTTAGAAGTCGTTTTGCAAAACCGGACACTCCCACCCCTCCCATCCTTGCTCAGCACGCCTGTTTCTTCGCATGGTGGGTCCTGAGCTGCCCTTCCCTCCTCGTGGGGCTGGCTATGCGTTTCATCCCCACTCTCTGCGAGGGGCCGTGGGAGGCAGCGCCCGACAGGAAACCACACGGAATGCGGCCGCCCTGCCAGGGGATCACGGGGCTGCTTTCAAAGGCCGCAAGTAGGCCACGGCTTTCTAAGCTTTCCCGCAGGGCTGCTCTCAGGAAGGAACCAGACAACTGGATTTTGCTGGGGAAACTTGGAAGGCAATGAAAAGCACTTACAGCTTCGGGGCCGTGTGGCCGACGGACAGGCAGAGCGCGGGCAGCTCACCCACATCAAACACAAGATTTGTACTCACTGGGGACCGACACAGGCTGGGGGCTGGGCACGGCTGGGCACGGGCCCAGGTCTCACCTAAACAGGCTGCCACAGGACACGCCTGTCCGCACGTTCCCAATTAAATGGGGAAGCCAGAGGCAACCCTCTGGGAACAATCTTGTGTCAGGTACAACCCTGAAAATGGTCTCATCGTCCACTCCAGGGGCCGGCAGACCTTTTCTGTAAAGGGGCAGTGAGTATTCCAGCATCTGAGGGTCATACGGTCTCTGTCCAGCTGTTGTAGCACAAAGGCAGCCATGCTGAGCCACACATGAGTGTTCCAATAAAGCTTCACTCACAACGCCGGGCCACGGGCCAGGCCTATTTGGCCCACTGGCCATCGCTGGCTGACTCCTGATCTAATCCAAATGCCCCATGTTTCTAAATTATTTTTAAGGTGAATTAATCAATGGCACAAAACTATCAAACAGGTAGGCATGGCAGAAGATTTAGAAGAACTTGATAATACAAAGGAACTCTGGAATTCAGGAAAATGTGCTACTCTCTCACCGACCTTCATGAGCATAATGTGAAGTCACGATGCTCGTAACAGTGCGTGAATGCTTAAAATGAGCTCTTGTCATTAGTTCATGGTTTCAGTGTTTGCTTTGCTAAGAATGTCTCTGGCTGTCAGGTCCCAGGAGACAGTGTTGTGAGAAAGCGCAGCCTTTGTCTCCTGGCAACAGTCAGAGGGGGGTGGAGCTGTGTGCTGCTGGCCTGAGCGAAGGGGACAGGGGACAGGGGACAGGGGACAGGAAGAGAGGGGTGCCGGGTGCTGTGTGGAGTCCTGGGACGGCCTCGCTGTAGCGAGAAACGCCCAGGGCGTCCTCCTCAGGGACGAAAGCCGTGCAGAACACCGAGCAGCCCCAAGTTACCTGGAGACCCTCTCTACACAGGTCTCCGGCTGCTGTGGGGGAGCCCAGCTCTGGGGTCCCCTGGGCGCACAGCACCCGAGGACGGACTACAGGCTGCGGGCGCTGAGCCTGCTCAATGGCACACGACATGTGGAGAAATCCCCGGCCTGTTCGCTGTCCACCTTGACACCGTGGTTGGTGCTGGTGACAACCCGCCTGGCTGAGGCCCTTCCGGTTCCCACTGAGCAGCCTGTGACATCGGGGAAGGGCCGCTTTCCCGAGCTGTGCAGAGTGTCTTCACGCTTTCCAGGGCAGTGGGCCATGTCCCGTTCATTCTCCTTGCACAAAAAATGTAGCTATTAGGCTGCCTTATCGTGAGAGGCCCAGCAATCGTATGGAGGGCAGGGTAGGGAAGACCTATTAAGGTTTCCATGGTGATGACTTAAACTGTGTGGCTTCTGTCCTCCTGGCGCTTTGATGTGGCACTGCTTATCCCATGGGGAGAGGTTTCCTACTGAAGAGGTAAAGGACAAAACTCTGCTGACTAAACCCCCTTCCCGTGACGCCTGGGCATAGGGAACCCTGTGCACACGGCCCCATGCTTTCCTCTCGGAATTCTAGCAAAACTGCGTCAGCTTCCTCACTGCTGGACTCTGCCAGCTGGGGCACAAAATCATAAGGAGATCCACGCTGGGCAGCAGCACAGAGCTTGTCATGGCTCTGTCTATCACGTGTACCGAATAACGTGCTTACACGTCATCTTATAACAGAGCTAATATTTTATATAGACTTCCATGTATCTGGGACATTTCCAAACAAGGCATGCAGTACATATTCTGGCAAATTAGAAGACACTAATCTTTACCCATCTCCTAAAGATCTGTTAGACCACAGTAACGAAGCAGGCCCCTAAAAGCTTCACTTACATCAAAACCCAAGACTGTTTTAAAAGGTGCTTTTCTGTCGTAAGCATGGCTTTCTTCTGAGAAGCATGTTGTGACAGGCACGCGCCAGCCTCCCCTCACGGACGGGTACTGGCCCTCACTACACTGGCAGCCGATAGGGCGGCTGCGGGTCCCAGCCTGCAGGGAGGCAGTGTCATTGTCAGGGGCCCTTACCTCTGGTCAGGCCTGCGTTTTGATGGATAAGCCTGAAAAGGTATTTCATCTCTCTGGGCTTTACTTTCCTTCAAAAACACAATACAAGACCTGACTCCCACCTGCATTTACGGGGCTGTGCTGCCGTCAGTGGGATAAAGAACCCAGGAAGCCACAGGTCTGCCTCTGGCATCAGGAGCCTCAGGAGGATGGACAGGTACAGACACACCTCCAGCATGACAGGGTCAGTGCCGAGGCAGGAGCGTGGGTGCAGCTCAGCAGGGCACGCAAGAGAGGGCGATGGGCCTGTCCCTCGAAAGCCTGTCCCCTCTCAGCCTGTGGGGTCTCCCAGCTGGGGGGGGGGCAGGTACTCAGAAAGAAAAAAATCCTGCCACCCTCTTGCCTGGCTTCCTGCTGGCCTAAGGCCCAGCTGGAGGATTGGGGAAGTTTCAATTAAAATCAAGCCTCTTCTATCAAATGAGACATCCTAAGACCCAATGGAGACAGTGTTTGTAGCTTTAATTAACCACAGGACATGTGAGTAACTAAATGTTTTCAGAAAATTCATGCAACTGTCTTTCTTCCAGGGCATCCTACACTGACTACGTTGCAAAGGGACAGAACAAGTCAAAACTTGCTTTCTGATCACATCTCAAAACTTACTCGATGGCTGGCTACTATCAATAGCTGCATTTTAGCTCTAACATTTTAACATTTCATTCAGACAGGTCTTTAGTCACATTAAGTCTGAGTCCATATTTTTTTTGGCTTTTATGGTAATGCTAGCAAAATGGTTTCAAGTGATAGGTCTGAGAGGTGTATTTTTTTAACCTAAGTCAAGTTAGCCTCATTTGTATGCAAAAGAAAAAAGTCTTCTTTGACTAAGCCAAAGTACTGAAGAAAAATAACAGTTAAAAAATTATTAGGTAGGAACATTTACCCAGCTGCATTTTCAAATTAAATTCAATGTCATACAAAGTTCATTTTCTTGTAACCCAAAGAACCGCCAGTTTCCATCAAGATTTTCACTGGAAAATGTTTTCAGAAGAGCCTGAAATTCTCAGAAAGCCAAATCAATCAATTTTACAGCTCTACACACTGACTTTTGTATCACACGGCATTATATTTAAGTTATAAACTGTCCAAACCAAATGATAAATGCCATTTAAAGAAACAAGCTCTTGAAATTTCAATGCCATCAAAAATGCTGGTTTTTTTAAGTTGGCCACACTTTTTTTTTCTTTTTGAGAAGTAAGCTCATGAGGAAACAGAGCTATCTTTAGTATTTCTTTAAAAAAAAAAAAAAAAACGCATGCAGAAAAGATTTCCTGCGTTTAGCTAAAGTAAATTAGGAGTCTTCTGACACCTTCCTCTGGTTTGTTCTGCGTTCCATCCCTCTCCAGACCCAGGGTAGCCCCGAAGCAGTGAAGCCTCATTCAGACGGCGACCTGAGAACCCGTCCAGGAGGAGGGGACGGCAGACTTCGGCCATCGCAAACTGAGCTGAAAAGTTTAGAATTTGGATGTGGAATGTTCACCGTAAAGTGGTGCACAAGGCGTGTCATGGGCGCATGTTGGTTATCTGCTCTTTTTCAGATAAACCCAAGGGCCAGAATACACATAAAAGTGAGGCCAAAGCGAATCCACAGACCCCTTAAAACATCACATTGCAATCCTGGTGAACTTCATGGAGCAAAGCGAAGGACCTGTCCTGACGGTCAAATGTCACAGAGCCTTGCAATGTCCCCTCAACAACGTTGTCATCAACTTTATAGCTCCTTTGTGTACAGGCCAGGCCACCCCTGGAGAACCCCCGAGTCTGGGCAGGCCCAGCTCCAGCCAGGAGGGCTGGGCAGGGCACCACGGGAGGGGGTCTGGTCCGCATCCCAAGAGATGGGCATCAGGGTGAGTCAGTTAGCCTCTGGGGGGGCAGTGTAATAGATAAGGACAACAGTGAGGGCTGTTGTGATACTTACAGGGACTCAGCACCTGCTGGGCTAGGCCCGCATGAGGTGGACAGTGAGTGCCAAGGAAAAGGCTACGCTTGGCTGTCAGGATGGAGGTCACCATGCCTGTCCTATGCCCAGCCGCCAGCCTTCTGCCATGCCTTTATGCCTCTTACACTCAGCGCAGGTCTAAGAGTTTCGCCCTGAAACCAGGCCTTCCCCTGGCTGAAGACTAATGTCCCAGGAGGGTCACATCTCATTAGACCTCCCCCATTGGCCCACATCCCTATAAACAAGCTGTGTTTCCTGAATCCTTCCGGCTACCGCGTAGATCCCAGCTAAAGCCTTTCACCTCTGAGCTCTTCAGAGAATGCAAGTGGCAGCCGAATTTCAGAAGTCTAGTTCACGTCGACTTTTCCCCTTCTAGGGCAGCCAAATGATGTGCAATCATATCTACCGAGAGTGCCCCCCGACCCAAGTTATCTGGATTCTCTCACAGGGATTGTAACCACATAAGGTACCTACCTCTTTCAAATTGCAGCTTTTTATATCTCTGCATAATTTCAGCCGCAACCATGCACTCAATCTAAGGGGGAAAAAATACAAACAAGGAGTGTAACAAGCTGAGGGCTGACACCTAAGGCAAGGTCAGCCGGAACAGAAGCCAGGACGCCCTGAGAAGCCACGCAGGGTGTGCTGGACGCGTGACAAAGCCCGGTTTGTCCCTTCGCACGTGCCTCCTTGTCCTGCAGGCGGCCCTGTTTAGGGCAGGTGGCGTCCGGACAGCTAATGGCGGTTTCTAATCCTTCTTTGATCAAGAGCTCGACATACTGTTTCAGGCACTGGAAAAAGAGAGAGAGAGAGGAGAGAAGACGAATCTGTAAACATCTTAACTTCCTTAAGGCTGAAGCAGCAGAGATGCACAATAAAAAATGACCAATCAAGCACCTTGTTCCATTATAGTCCCGTAATTTCACTGGGTAGCCCTTCACAACCACTGAGTCTGAGGTTTGATTCACTCAACACATGCCTATGGAGCGCGCCCTCTGTGCCACGGGCTGCATGCTGGCTTATAGAACTAAGGCTGCGGGTCGGGTCCCTGCACACAGCCGCAGCGAACACACGGCCAGGGAGACCGGCAGCGGGGGGAGAAGGCTGACGGCAGTTGAGGAGTCAGATTGCTCAGGTGCACACCGGATATCAGGCGCTGTCCTCAATGCTTTCTAGTCCATTGTGTCACGTCCTCCTTAGAACATTCTCATGGGAACAGGATGACCCTTCCATCTGTCAGACGTGAGCAGAGTCACCAGAGAAGGAGCTTGCTGGGTTACCCACAGCAAGAGCACAGCCCAGACTCCAGACAGCCTCACGACCTAAGATGCCCTGCTGTCCTGCTGAGAGCCCGGGTTACAGCCGCCAGGCCTCCTGCACAGACACCTCACTGGCCGGCAGTGACTACAGCCTCACCTACTTGGAGGACAGCCGAGCATGTGACCTAAGCCAGAGAGGTCAAGTGCGAGACACAAAGCAGACTCCATATCGGAGATGATGAGGCCCTTCACAGAACCAGTGACTCTTGCTTTATAGACTACTCGTCTTGGACATCCAGGGCTTCCCTGAAGAACACATGAAAAACAATTCAACGAGAGACCGGGCCGTCCGGTGAGCTCACTACCAAAGGCGACTCAGGCAGAAACTGAGAAGGGCTTACCGAAGAACTCGGGGAGCGCAGGAACCTGGCCTCGCATGCAGCCCCAAGTTGGCTTATAATCCCAGCCCCAATATAGTACGTGGGGTTCATGATGCCAGCATTACTATAATCACACGACTAAATGCTGTAATCCCAATTCACCGAGAAAAGCGCCCCGCTATGTTTTCTAAGGCCCACCCCTAAAAAACACACAAGCTATTTCACTGCAAGGATGCTTGGTCATTACTAATGGATGGGCCCAGCACGAAGTCCAGCTGCACCTCCTCCCAGCGCCTGGCAGGGGTCTGTTCCTCTCTCAGCCTCATCTCCCCGAGCTGCAAATCGCTGCAAATCAGGGTGGTTTCACTGCCTTGGAGTGGAGCTGTCAGAATCGTATACAAGAGAGCGAGTCTGGAAGACTACATGGAAGCACTATATGCTCAATGTGGAAATAATAACTGGATCTAAATGGTAATTCTCACCATTCCATCAGACTGGGATACGTCACTCATTAGAGACTCCAGATGGCAAATTTCTGTCAAGAACAGAAAGCAAGGAAATCCTCAAAAAGAGCCATTTCCTACCGCTTCTCTCAAGAGCACTAACTCAGAAAGCTGTGACTTTAAGTGACAACTGCGATGCTGGTGCTCATGAGCCGAGGCCTGCGTTGCAGCCTGGTCCTTCTGTCCATCCCAGCGGTCCTGGACTTAAGACTGTACTCGGACCGCCTACCTTTCACCCACCCAACGACTATAAAGAGCTCCCAGGGGACCGAGAAGGAGGCGCCCAGACTTGGAGCTCCACCTGAGAAACAGGGAGGCAGAGGTTTCAGAGGTGACGTCATCGAAACCAGCACACAGGACCCCCCAGATGAGAGGACCTCCATCAGGCCTGTGCCTGCCATGCTGGCACCAGGGACCCGTCTGGGAGGCAGCGCGGGGGCTGAGTGGCACGCTGAGCCCCCGCGGCAGTGGTCTGTTTGCAGGGGGCAGGTCCCTGGAATGGACTGTTTATGGCTGGCCCTAAGGTGAATCTGAGGACAGACAGACCTCAGGCTTTGGAGCCAGACAGACTCAAGGAATGCTCGTCCTTGTAGGCAGGGGCCACAGACGATTCCTTGAAGAGCAGCTCTCTCGGCAAAAAAGTAGGAATGTGTGACCTGCTGGACTTTTGTGACAGTGACAGAGGAAGTGTCTAAAAGCATCTAGCTGCGCAGGATGCCACTACATGGCAGCTGCCAAGTAAACGGGGACCGATGTTATCTGTTGTGTGTCTATCCACGTGACACGTTTCTTAGTCACAGGCAAANACGGGGCTGTGCTGCCGTCAGTGGGATAAAGAACCCAGGAAGCCACAGGTCTGCCTCTGGCATCAGGAGCCTCAGGAGGATGGACAGGTACAGACACACCTCCAGCATGACAGGGTCAGTGCCGAGGCAGGAGCGTGGGTGCAGCTCAGCAGGGCACGCAAGAGAGGGCGATGGGCCTGTCCCTCGAAAGCCTGTCCCCTCTCAGCCTGTGGGGTCTCCCAGCTGGGGGGGGGGCAGGTACTCAGAAAGAAAAAAATCCTGCCACCCTCTTGCCTGGCTTCCTGCTGGCCTAAGGCCCAGCTGGAGGATTGGGGAAGTTTCAATTAAAATCAAGCCTCTTCTATCAAATGAGACATCCTAAGACCCAATGGAGACAGTGTTTGTAGCTTTAATTAACCACAGGACATGTGAGTAACTAAATGTTTTCAGAAAATTCATGCAACTGTCTTTCTTCCAGGGCATCCTACACTGACTACGTTGCAAAGGGACAGAACAAGTCAAAACTTGCTTTCTGATCACATCTCAAAACTTACTCGATGGCTGGCTACTATCAATAGCTGCATTTTAGCTCTAACATTTTAACATTTCATTCAGACAGGTCTTTAGTCACATTAAGTCTGAGTCCATATTTTTTTTGGCTTTTATGGTAATGCTAGCAAAATGGTTTCAAGTGATAGGTCTGAGAGGTGTATTTTTTTAACCTAAGTCAAGTTAGCCTCATTTGTATGCAAAAGAAAAAAGTCTTCTTTGACTATGCCAAAGTACTGAAGAAAAATAACAGTTAAAAAATTATTAGGTAGGAACATTTACCCAGCTGCATTTTCAAATTAAATTCAATGTCATACAAAGTTCATTTTCTTGTAACCCAAAGAACCGCCAGTTTCCATCAAGATTTTCACTGGAAAATGTTTTCAGAAGAGCCTGAAATTCTCAGAAAGCCAAATCAATCAATTTTACAGCTCTACACACTGACTTTTGTATCACACGGCATTATATTTAAGTTATAAACTGTCCAAACCAAATGATAAATGCCATTTAGAGAAACAAGCTCTTGAAATTTCAATGCCATCAAAAATGCTGGTTTTTTAAGTTGGCCACACTTTTTTTTTTTCTTTTTGAGAAGTAAGCTCATGAGGAAACAGAGCTATCTTTAGTATTTCTTAAAAAAAAAAAACGCATGCAGAAAAGATTTCCTGCGTTTAGCTAAAGTAAATTAGGAGTCTTCTGACACCTTCCTCTGGTTTGTTCTGCGTTCCATCCCTCTCCAGACTCAGGGTAGCCCCGAAGCAGTGAAGCCTCATTCAGACGGCGATCTGAGAACCCGTCCAGGAGGAGGGGACGGCAGACTTCGGCCATCGCAAACTGAGCTGAAAAGTTTAGAATTTGGATGTGGAATGTTCACCGTAAAGTGGTGCACAAGGCGTGTCATGGGCGCATGTTGGTTATCTGCTCTTTTTCAGATAAACCCAAGGGCCAGAATACACATAAAAGTGAGGCCAAAGCGAATCCACAGACCCCTTAAAACATCACATTGCAATCCTGGTGAACTTCATGGAGCAAAGCGAAGGACCTGTCCTGACGGTCAAATGTCACAGAGCCTTGCAATGTCCCCTCAACAACGTTGTCATCAACTTTATAGCTCCTTTGTGTACAGGCCAGGCCACCCCTGGAGAACCCCCGAGTCTGGGCAGGCCCAGCTCCAGCCAGGAGGGCTGGGCAGGGCACCACGGGAGGGGGTCTGGTCCGCACCCCAAGAGATGGGCATCAGGGTGAGTCAGTTAGCCTCTGGGGGGGCAGTGTAATAGATAAGGACAACAGTGAGGGCTGTTGTGATACTTACAGGGACTCAGCACCTGCTGGGCTAGGCCCGCATGAGGTGGACAGTGAGTGCCAAGGAAAAGGCTACGCTTGGCTGTCAGGATGGAGGTCACCATGCCTGTCCTATGCCCAGCCGCCAGCCTTCTGCCATGCCTTTATGCCTCTTACACTCAGCGCAGGTCTAAGAGTTTCGCCCTGAAACCAGGCCTTCCCCTGGCTGAAGACTAATGTCCCAGGAGGGCCACATCTCATTAGACCTCCCCCATTGGCCCACATCCCTATAAACAAGCTGTGTTTCCTGAATCCTTCCGGCTACCGCGTAGATCCCAGCTAAAGCCTTTCACCTCTGAGCTCTTCAGAGAATGCAAGTGGCAGCCGAATTTCAGAAGTCTAGTTCACGTCGACTTTTCCCCTTCTAGGGCAGCCAAATGATGTGCAATCATATCTACCGAGAGTGCCCCCCGACCCAAGTTATCTGGATTCTCTCACAGGGATTGTAACCACATAAGGTACCTACCTCTTTCAAATTGCAGCTTTTTATATCTCTGCATAATTTCAGCCGCAACCATGCACTCAATCTAAGGGGGAAAAAATACAAACAAGGAGTGTAACAAGCTGAGGGCTGACACCTAAGGCAAGGTCAGCCGGAACAGAAGCCAGGACGCCCTGAGAAGCCACGCAGGGTGTGCTGGACGCGTGACAAAGCCCGGTTTGTCCCTTCGCACGTGCCTCCTTGTCCTGCAGGCGGCCCTGTTTAGGGCAGGTGGCGTCCGGACAGCTAATGGCGGTTTCTAATCCTTCTTTGATCAAGAGCTCGACATACTGTTTCAGGCACTGGAAAAAGAGAGAGAGAGAGGAGAGAAGACGAATCTGTAAACATCTTAACTTCCTTAAGGCTGAAGCAGCAGAGATGCACAATAAAAAATGACCAATCAAGCACCTTGTTCCATTATAGTCCCGTAATTTCACTGGGTAGCCCTTCACAACCACTGAGTCTGAGGTTTGATTCACTCAACACATGCCTATGGAGCGCGCCCTCTGTGCCACGGGCTGCATGCTGGCTTATAGAACTAAGGCTGCGGGTCGGGTCCCTGCACACAGCCGCAGCGAACACACGGCCAGGGAGACCGGCAGCGGGGGGAGAAGGCTGACGGCAGTTGAGGAGTCAGATTGCTCAGGTGCACACCGGATGTCAGGCGCTGTCCTCAATGCTTTCTAGTCCATTGTGTCACGTCCTCCTTAGAACATTCTCATGGGAACAGGATGACCCTTCCATCTGTCAGACGTGAGCAGAGTCACCAGAGAAGGAGCTTGCTGGGTTACCCACAGCAAGAGCACAGCCCAGACTCCAGACAGCCTCACGACCTAAGATGCCCTGCTGTCCTGCTGAGAGCCCGGGTTACAGCCGCCAGGCCTCCTGCACAGACACCTCACTGGCCGGCAGTGACTACAGCCTCACCTACTTGGAGGACAGCCGAGCATGTGACCTAAGCCAGAGAGGTCAAGTGCGAGACACAAAGCAGACTCCATATCGGAGATGATGAGGCCCTTCACAGAACCAGTGACTCTTGCTTTATAGACTACTCGTCTTGGACATCCAGGGCTTCCCTGAAGAACACATGAAAAACAATTCAACGAGAGACCGGGCCGTCCGGTGAGCTCACTACCAAAGGCGACTCAGGCAGAAACTGAGAAGGGCTTACCGAAGAACTCGGGGAGCGCAGGAACCTGGCCTCGCATGCAGCCCCAAGTTGGCTTATAATCCCAGCCCCAATATAGTACGTGGGGTTCATGATGCCAGCATTACTATAATCACACGACTAAATGCTGTAATCACAATTCACCGAGAAAAGCGCCCCGCTATGTTTTCTAAGGCCCACCCCTAAAAAACACACAAGCTATTTCACTGCAAGGATGCTTGGTCATTACTAATGGATGGGCCCAGCACGAAGTCCAGCTGCACCTCCTCCCAGCGCCTGGCAGGGGTCTGTTCCTCTCTCAGCCTCATCTCCCCGAGCTGCAAATCGCTGCAAATCAGGGTGGTTTCACTGCCTTGGAGTGGAGCTGTCAGAATCGTATACAAGAGAGCGAGTCTGGAAGACTACATGGAAGCACTATATGCTCAATGTGGAAATAATAACTGGATCTAAATGGTAATTCTCACCATTCCATCAGACTGGGATACGTCACTCATTAGAGACTCCAGATGGCAAATTTCTGTCAAGAACAGAAAGCAAGGAAATCCTCAAAAAGAGCCATTTCCTACCGCTTCTCTCAAGAGCACTAACTCAGAAAGCTGTGACTTTAAGTGACAACTGCGATGCTGGTGCTCATGAGCCGAGGCCTGCGTTGCAGCCTGGTCCTTCTGTCCATCCCAGCGGTCCTGGACTTAAGACTGTACTCGGACCGCCTACCTTTCACCCACCCAACGACTATAAAGAGCTCCCAGGGGACCGAGAAGGAGGCGCCCAGACTTGGAGCTCCACCTGAGAAACAGGGAGGCAGAGGTTTCAGAGGTGACGTCATCGAAACCAGCACACAGGACCCCCCAGATGAGAGGACCTCCATCAGGCCTGTGCCTGCCATGCTGGCACCAGGGACCCGTCTGGGAGGCAGCGCGGGGGCTGAGTGGTACGCTGAGCCCCCGCGGCAGTGGTCTGTTTGCAGGGGGCAGGTCCCTGGAATGGCCTGTTTATGGCTGGCCCTAAGGTGAATCTGAGGACAGACAGACCTCAGGCTTTGGAGCCAGACAGACTCAAGGAATGCTCGTCCTTGTAGGCAGGGGCCACAGACGATTCCTTGAAGAGCAGCTCTCTCGGCAAAAAAGTAGGAATGTGTGACCTGCTGGACTTTTGTGACAGTGACAGAGGAAGTGTCTAAAAGCATCTAGCTGCGCAGGATGCCACTACATGGCAGCTGCCAAGTAAACGGGGACCGATGTTATCTGTTGTGTGTCTATCCACGTGACACGTTTCTTAGTCACAGGCAAATGAAAATCAAAGCCGTAGTGACAATATTTTACTTTCTATAATTAAGTTGGTCTATATTGGGTCTCTGGAGAACATGGAACGCCATAAGCCAATAAAACGCTGGAGTCTCAGGATCTTGCGCAGAGCAGCCCGTCATGAGAAAGGGTGTGCTCTCTCTGAGAAGGAAAACACAACAATCAAAGCTGGTGTGAAACGTACACGCAGGGGACATCTACGACTCTAAGCGTCACCGTCAAGAGCTTGCACGTGCCAGCATGGCATCACGTCGCTGAAAGCTGCCCAGAGCGAACGTTCTGCGCCACCGGAAAGCACCTGCACAATTTCTGCAAAATGCCGATGTTTTGGGAGAATCGGTTTGCCTACTACAGAAGACGAGATGAGGGTCAAGTGTCTGGCCACACTCCGTGCCCAGTCTTCTCCCAGATAGAAAGTCAATGCTGATTCACGAGCTGCGTTTTCCAATCCACGAGCAAAAAGATGTCATGAAATGAGCACAAGAAACAAAGGGGCTCACAGAGAAACATCTGTGAAAATGTGTATGCAGCACACAAGCGGAGACTGAGGTGTTTCCCTGCTGTCATATCAATTCTGCTGTCAGGGATCAGATGTCGAAACACCAGGCTCTATGCTCATCACTTTCCCCGCTCGTCCACCCAACAACATGTGACACCCTTGTGAGGTGTCCTCCCTCCATCAAGTGGAGAAACCAAGAGTTTTGTTTGTGTGTTTGTTTGTTTGTTATCTCAAGAATCAGGAAGGGCTAGGGAGACGGACACGTGTTCCCATTTGGGCATCTTGCCAATGCTGGGGCAGGTTTCCAGGACCCTGACGGCTGCAGGACCTATGGGGGCCTCCTGGGAGACCGGAGGGGGGTTTCGGGTGAGAAGCAAGTGCACAGAATAAGGAGAGGGAAAGCGGGGCCCACATGTCCCGCCCCGGTAGGAAGGTGCAGGATGTGGAGGTGCGTGAAGGAAGCCCTCCGCCCTGGGCCTAGTGTGCGGCAGAGTATTGCCTCCAGAGCAGGACGTCCGCCCTGTGCCAAGTTTCTCAGCAAAGCCGATCCCAGGAGTCAGAGTTGTCTCGTGCGCCCTTAACAGATAATTATCAGACTATAATGCAAGGAGCAAGAGCACAAGAGTCCAACACACCCAGCGAACACCCTCAGCTGCGGTTCCTTTCTCCTGGATAGAGAATGCCGCCCATTTCACAGGGTTTTATGAGCACTGAGGTAACGTATAAAGCATTTGGGATTTCACCACCATCAACACATGCTGTTCTCCATCATCTTTATCCACAAGGTAACATTTTAGATGGGTCCTAAAAGCCAGAGATAAAGATGAAAACCACGCTGGTAGTGCCTGTGAGCAAGCAGTGCTGGCAGAGACACTGGGGGCCTGTGTGACACCTGACAACACAGATCGAGAAGCAGTTCCGCCCACGGGGACACAGAAGGGACTCGCAAAGCTAGGACTGTGCTGTTGTCATCTGGGCTGCTAGAAGCCCCAGCTCTCGGGTCCCCTCTCAGCCCCCGCACACACCTCGTCACCCCACCTGCCAGTCGGCCTTTTTCCATCTGGAAAGCCTAGCCCACGGCGAGGCCCCGACGTCCTGAAGGTCGAAGGTCCTCTGAGACCCCAGGAGCCAACATGCAGGACAGATAATCAGCGGGGCTGGTGGCCGCAGGGTCCACGCTGACAGCGCAGGCCTGGTTCCAACCACTGTACATACCTTTAGGCTTTCCTGAAGACTTCCGTTTGTACAAAGGGACCCTGAGCTAAAGGATGCTCTGAAAACTGTTTCCAGGACCCACACTTGCCAGGGCAGGCTGATCCCAGGAACGCCTCAGATTGTGCCATGTCGTACCTGGCAGGCACACATTTCTCCAGTCCAGATAAATTTGGGACACGCAGGTAAAAACTACAGTTTGTCCCTCGCTATGGGTTCCTCAGGGCTTCCGTCACGCTCCTGGGCATCAGGACATGTTGGTGGGGACGCGTGAAGAGGGGCACAGCGTGTGGCTCAGCAAACCCACTGAACCACAACAGTCGTGCTGAGCACATCTTTTAGGACCAGAGTCCCCAGGACGCACGTGCGGGAAAGCTGCCGCAAGCTCTCCTTCATTCCTGCGGTTCTAAGCGCAAACCGAGAGGCAGAGGAGGAGCTGGGCCTGCAGGAGGCCCTGCCGCCTAGCAGGTGCTTCACACATGCTCCCCCACTGGAAACTCGGGGAAACTGTGTTTAGCCCGTTTTACAGATGAGGTGACTGAGGCCTCTGAAATCCAAGAAAGCCTGGACTTGACCGTGGGGATGCCTGACTCCCGTCACCTGAGAAGGTAACATGTTTATCTAGCAATCACTTTGTCAAGAGTGCCCCCACCTTTCAGTCTTACGCGGTCGTCTCTCTGCACTCTTCCCACCTCCCCTGTCTGTCAACAGTTTCAAGTCCGCTGGCCATGGGCTCCTCCCCAGAGCTTGTCCCGGGCTGGGGTGACTAGAGGCCCACACAGAGGGGAACACGGTGACTGAAGGAGTCGGGGGCAGGCCCCCCACACCGCCCACCTGCCCACACACAGGTGCTTCCTCGCGTCACACTGCGGCGAGTTGCAGAAACAAGGGAACTGCTCTCAACATTTACATTTTGCAGAAATGGTTGTGGAAAAAAAATAGTAAAACCACACTCACACTATTTCCTGCTCCGCCCTGTAACCCCTCTTTGAGAAAACAGTGCCATTTTCCTCCTTTCATAGGCCCCGATTTAAATTAAGCATTTGATCTGAATTGGAGTTGCGTATTTATTTTTACTACAATTCTCTAGAAATAGAAAACCAAAGCAACAACAACAAAGGAAAGCCTGGGTGAAGGGCCAGCCTCATGGACTCCTTCCAGGGGAAGGACGCAGACCCTGGTCACCACAGGCGTCCCCCAGGGTGACAGGTGGCTGAGAGGCAGCACACGTGCCCAGGGCACCAGGGCAGAGGGGCCTCCAGTCCATTGGTGGACACTGTGGAAGTCCCTCAGGCGCGAAGCGAGTTGTTTCATCCGTCAGACCTGCTCCACCATCTCCCTCGCCCTCTAGCAAGGAGGCTGAGCTGCTCTCCTGGGTTAGTGGAAGGCGGTCTGTCTGTCCCCTGCTCCCACCCACCGGCTCCCTCCCTTCCTCCCCCATCTCAGGCCTCCGGGCTGAGGCCCATTCCTCTTCTGTCAACTAGGACACCGAGAGCGACTGGCTGCAGTGCAAGCCCGTGAGCCTTCATCGACGGGCCGTCATGCGTCCTGCAGCAAACCCGGGCTTGCAGGCCCAGAATCCTGACCCTCAGGACGCGCGCCTCTGGCAGGGACAGTCAGGAGATGGAGACGTAAGCATTTCAAGTAAGCGTGTGAAAAATGCTAAGGATGAAGAACACATCTCCTGCAAAAGGAAGACAAGACTGCCTAGTGACGGAGTTTCATCTAGATAGTAAGCACGTAGGCAGGCCACCCATGCGGTCCATCTACCACGCAAAATTCGCAAGTGACTTTCGTGGGTTTTTTAGTTTGAAGAAACAGTTCCTTTTTTTTTCTTTTCTGGACTTTTGATTTTTCTTTTCTGGACTTGCCCCACCCCTTTTTTTGTATTCCTTGAACGAGAAGAAAAATCAAGTAAAATTGAATGAGATGAACTGAAAAGTAAACCCGATACCCTCCTTTTCCTTTTCTGACGTGTAAAATATTGGGTCTGAGTTAGGCCTGCTGGAAACAGACGTCCCTAGAACCATTAAGAGCAGTAGGTCATTTGGCCCCAAACAACATGGGCTCCATCTTAAGTGAATTTAATGTGACTTCAATGTACGCATGCATTCTAGCTCAGCAAAGCCAGTGCCAGGTGAGTGCTGCTATCACCCAACCACATAACTGCTAAATCTAAAACGGGTGTGGTGAAGGTTTTCCTTTCCAAAAAGGAGAACGCATGCCTCTCAGGTTCTCCAGGGTGCTCTCCTGGCTTCTAAGCTCCGTGGAGCAGACTATGTTTGCACCAGAGGCCCCTGCAATGGAAATCTACCTGGGGCCCCGGCTGACTTGGCTACTTCCTCCCGTAACAGGCGAAAGCCCCCAAAGGGGACTCGGCAATAGCGACCGTGAGGCCAGAGGTCTGCGGGGGGTGTGTAGAAACACAAGCGAAGGCTCTTCCCACCATCCTTGCAGACATGCTGCCTCCCTCCCAGAGACCAACCAGAGTACAGAAGATGCACTGGCACTGGGCCAAGGTTGTCATCTGCTCCAGCGGGTACTCCCCGAGGCACAGCTTGCAGGACACCAGCGGGTCGAGGGCCAGGTCCCACGTGGGCCGGTATCGCGCAGTGGTCATGGCAGAGCAGTCTGAAACGAGAGAAGCACAGGCCATCAGACCCCTCGCGGCCTCTCCCACGACCAACACAGGGGTCACTTGTCCCGGCTGCAGCCAGGGTCCATGGAGTGGGGGTAGGGCGGTGGCCAAGCGACTACAGACGGGCCCAGGGTCTCAGAGAACTCGCTCCGGTCCTCTGAGAAGTTTTAGCCGGAGGTCCCTACTTGTCTGTAGGGGACTCCTTTCCTATATGGATGGTGACACTCATTCTAACCTCAAAGTGGCCGAAGGCCCACCCCATCCCCACCCTTCCCTCCACGCCTCCTAAGGGCACCAAACAAGACACCTCCCTCCGACCCAGCTGCCCCCCAGGAGGGTAAAACCATAGCAGCCGAGGAAGAGAAGCTTTTGTTAGAAAGGTTATGGATGGGATCAAACGGGTCTCCAGTGTCTGCTGTGGAAACATCCCAGGGAGCCCAGTCCTTGAAGTCCTCCCCCTTCAGGCCCCGGTACCCTCCAAATGGGCCACACCTTCCCACACTGGCTTCCATCCCACCACCCAAGTGCCACCGGCCCTCCAGACACAGCCCAGGCACCACTGCCCCCTGACACCAGGCAGCTTTTCTGACAGGGAAGCGTCGTAAAGGCCAGGGCCCTGGCAGCTGTGTTCCCTTCTGCGCCAAGTGCATCCCAGCGGTGCCTGGGGCATCAGACACTCCACACGTATCTCATCTGTGGAAGTCACCTTCACTCCCCACCCTCAGGGAGCAATCTCTGGCCACCTCCTCACCCACCCACGGTCTGTGTTCCCGAGAGCATGCATTTTCCTGTGGCTGCATGTATCACGCCGATGCCCGTGGCATGCTGCCCGGGGAACATGGGGCAGGTGTGGGTGCCCGGCTCTCAGCCAGCAGCTGAACCACGGAGGCCTCTCCGTAACTGCCTGTTGACTGAAGGAACACGTGGTTGCATCTTCTCTTACCCGAACCCCCTGGTTGGAGCTTTATGACACTTATCAGGCACCTGAGACAGGTAAGAATGTGCTTCACTATACCTGCACCCCATGCTTCCCAAACTCAGGGCTGGGTAAGACNTTTGCTGAATAATAATTTGGTTACAGTTATGGAGACGCTAACTAACAAACATGGCTACTGGTAATATACAAGGATAGGACACTTTTGAGAGGCAATACACGATATTTTTCAAGGACCTTCAAAGTGTTTAAATCCTTTAGGCAAGTAACCCCATCCCTGGGAACTGACCCATAAAGTAAAAAAACTGGGAGCAAGAAAATGTTCATTACAGCATTTTCCATAATATTAAAAACTGTAAGTGCATAAATGTCATTTTTGAAAAGTGACACCAACGCAATAACAGCAGAAAAATTGAAAAGTGCAGGCCACAGAATGTCATTTTGCAGTGGTAACCAGTGACTTGCGGATCCCATTTTGGTGGGTGGAAAGTGAGCTTAAAAAGTACATGCTCGTTATGTCAGCAGACACTACAGACCAAGAAAAGACACACTCACACTCGTGCAATCACAGTTTGATTGGTATGGAGAGAAACTGTTTTTCTTTCTGCAATGTTCCTCTTCATATATAAATTTCAAAAACTTCTGCAAAGCCAAGGAATATCAAAATAAATAACAAAATGTCAAAACAAAAAAAAAATTGGCAAGACTTACCCCAAAGAGTTAACCTCCCTAAAATAGTTTTAGAAGCTGGACATAGAAGAGCAACAGCTTAATAGAAAGTAATCAAAGAATAACAGATAATTCATAAGGAAAAGAACACAAATGGCACTCAAATGTATGCATTCATAAGAAGAGACATGCGAATTATTAATAACTATACAGGAGGCCACTTCTCAACTATCCCACTGGCAAACATTCAAACGTTTGACCAAACACTCTTGGTGCCGCTGTGGGTCAATACCCACTCTCACTTTATTGGCTAGAGCTCAACAAGATCCAACACGTGAACGGAGGGTGGGGTGGGGGAGTCTGCTGGCAACTAACAACATTTTACCTCCCTTTACCCACTGACCCAGAAATTCCGTGTGGCCGGTGTATGTACTTAGTCATCACGGTCTTGTCCGACATTCCGAGAGGTTAAAAACAACCCACGTAGGGGGCAGGTTAAACGAGCCATGGACAGTACACACAACGAAATGCTAGGCAGCGACAAGGAGGAGAGGGCCTCCTAGGCATCACAGTGAGAAGGTCTGCAAACATACCGAGAGAAAAGAGGCAAATGCAGAACAGTGTGCATTACAGGATGAATACTGTGCAAACTTGGAGCATATCTGTACTCATCTTTACCTGCAAAGAAACACTGGATGACTACCCTAGATCCTAACTAACANACTTGGTCATGTGATGTGGGAGAAAGTACGTAACCTCTACGAACTCCAGGTTTTTCCCTTCTGTAAAACCTTATACAGTCACCTCCCATGGACACTTGCTGTGAAGAGTGAGTGAGAAGTAATATATTGGAAATTGCTGGGACATATCACCTGCCTGGAGAGTAGATGTCTTTGTTATATGTCGGGTTTTAAGAACCTGGACACTGACCGACATGAGCTAAAGGGAGGGGACACGTGGCACGTGGCTGAGAAGAGAACTGCGACCACAAGCTCGGCCTTCAAGGAAGTTCAAGCTGATGGCCATAATCTTTCAAGAAGGTAACACAAAACCTCCGGAAGCCTCTTCCATCATCATTCGCTGTGCACTGTGGTCCAAGGATGGACATCAGCCCAAAATGGGTTTCAGAAGGGCAGAAACCGAGGGCTTACCCCTCCAACGTGGGGTCCGTGAAGCCTGCCCCCACCGTCTGGCAACATCCCAGGATGAACCACTGCCCGTAAACCACTGCCCCCCGCTCTGGACCACTGGTCCTCACCGGCTCGCGTTCCCAGACACTCCCTCCCTCTTACCAGCTTCGGAGCTGGGCTCCTTTTCCTGTTTACGGCCTCTCGGAAGACGTGACCCTTAGCACACATTGCAGGCTTGACCTCTCGCTTCCTTTCTTCCTGGACCATAATTTCCATTGACCTCGAGGCAGGGAGGCCTCCCTCTGCTAAGCAATCAGGTTCCAGTTTCCTGGCCCCATTCTTTCTCCAGGAGAGCAGATGCTCTCTGAGGTGTACTCAAAACCGTGACTCAAATGGTGACAACAATAGGACACATTTTACCAAAAAAAAAGCATACATTGTCTAAGCCCATCCCCGGCCTTCCTAACACAGGATGGGCTGAATATGACTCTGCAAACACGGAGCAGCTGCAACTTCAAATAGGAATTTGCTGAGAGTCACAATGCACAATGAAAGAAAAAACAGTCTTTGTTTTCCTCCTGTGAATGTCAACTCATGAAACAACAAGCTATTTTAAGAACATCGGGTCAATTATAAGTATTATTCAATCTAAGCGATTCAAAATGTTTATAAGGCAGGTTACTTATTAAGCTGCTGCTAGGGTTATCAAAGCGCCGTGTGTGGTGCTGGGGAGGTGTGGATGCGAGGTTGAGGGAGGGCTGCAAAGGAGAGCAGCCCACTGAGGCGGGCAGTCCACCTACGCCGACCAGGCCCCAGAGGGCTACGAGGCCAGCACCATCTCACCCCGAGGCTCTGGGGCTGTGGACTTCTGCAGGTCCCTACTTCCCAATAGTTACCCCGTCAGAGAAACTAAAGGGAGAGAAAGCAGTGGCCAGCCAGTCACTGTCCCCCTTTTATGCTCACGACTTCCTCCAGCAAACCCCTGGTCCTCAAGGCTAGCGGAGTCTCACGCACGCGTTTCTTCCCTGCCCCCGCCCCATCACCACTTCTCCAAATCCTCCACGCCTAGCAGCAGTCCCCATGCTCTGGGAAGTCTCCCCGGTTCCTCAGAAGCCCTCAGCTGTCCCCCGTGTTTCAGGCTCTGCTGCAGACAGCCTCTCAGTGCTTCTCAGTGTGTGCTCCCCAAAAGAGCGGCACCAGTGTGGCCTGAGAGCTTGCCAGTATGCAAGCTCTGGGGCCCTAACCCAGTCCTGCTAAACTGGGCACTCTAGGTTGAGGAGAGGGAGAGGCTCAGCAATCTGGGTTTCCAGGGGCCTTTCAGGGGCTTCTCACTCACAGCGATGTCTGAGAGCCACTGGTATCCTCTCTCCTGAGAGCGTTCCCCACCCAGCTCCATCGGCCTCCAAAGCCCCGTGGGCTGAAGCCCAACAAAAGCATCGCCTGTCAGAGCACAACTGTGCAGCCTGTGGATGCCTGGAGCTGGGCTCCCCTCCGCACATGCACTTACATCGACTCTTTCTATGACTCTGGGTAAGTGTGGCTTCCAAGTCCGCCGCGTGTTGGTTTGTCTCCCCCACTTGATGATACACTGTTCACGGGTAAGCCTGTTTTCCATCTTGCTCAGCAGTGCTGGTCACAGGCAGACACACACACACACACCCCTTGACTGCTGACTATGCATTGTTATCACTTCCGTGCATTACTTCATTTACCCGCACAATGCCTTTGAGACGTCAATAGTTTGCTATTCTTCCAATTTCACCAATGAGGAGACTGAGGCAGACAGAGGATGAGGCACCTGCTCAGGCCCACAGAGCACTGGATGGGCAGCCTGTTAGACCCTCGGGCACAGTCACCAACTACCCTGCTGGGCCTTCTCCCTAGATCCTTATGGACTGAATGAATGGAGCTTTCTGGACCTGCAGAGATGCAAGAGAACTAACTTCAGTCCTGCATCTCAGCTTCTGCGGCCTCAGCCTAGAACTCCCATTTTGGCAGTGGCTGTGGAAAGCCACAGCTTCGTAATCTGGAGCTGTCAGCAGCCCTAGAAACATGGCGATGGTGGCTGAGTAAAAGCTGAGGACACAGACGCTCAGTGGTCCGAGCATACGGTTTCATAGTCCTTAGGAAGGTGTTGGGCTGTTCCTTCCTGCAAAGGAGATGGTGCCTACGGCTCAACGGAAGAACTTTACTCATTCCAGCAACCGGGCCGCCAGGTACTTCTCCGGCTAATTGGAAAACTTCCATTCACACGAAACCC